TTTTTTTTTTTTTCATTTTCATTCTTTATTCATGTGTTCTATAATTAACGAATAAACGTTGAATCTGTTTGCTTCTATCGAACCATACATTTGATTTTTAAAACAAGCGAAAGACGCATTCGCGCTCACGATTTTCACTTTCCTAACAAAAATTCCGTCGAAATGCACTTTGATTTTGCTTGCTTTGATATTTATGTTTGCGCAATGGGAATGTTCTCTGTCGAGTGTCGAGTATTTTGTGAAGTAGATTGGGGAATGACGTTTGGTCGACGTATGTTTCACACGAAAATGATAAAACGTGATATTTCGTTTTTATTCCTGATTTTTCTAATTAATTATTTTTTAATTATACATATGACATTTTCTTTATTTTAATTTTTTTTTAAATGATTACAAGATATTAATAGAATTAAATTGATATAAGTTTTAATTATCTATTAAGAGCGATATGATCTATTAGCGATATGATTCTAATTTCCTCCTTTCATTTTCTTGAAAATGGATTTTGAAAGAGGAGGAATTTTTCCATAAGAATATAAAAATTTGAAATATTTCAAAAAATTTCCAGTTTAAAAAAAAAAATTTATGAATATCTTACATAATTTTTCAGACATTTGCGACGATTGCAATAGAAAAAAATAGTAGATCAAAATTTATTCGTGTTATTTCATTAATAAAATAATGAAGTCAAGTTCATTTTGAATTAAAATGAATTTGAATTTCTATCGTGAATTTAAAGTAATTTTAACTTAAATGAATTAAGAAGATAATATTTCTAAGAAGTTCATTATTAATATAATTTATACATTATTCATTCATATCGAATAAATTTTGCTTTATAAATCTTTTCATCGTACCTTGTAAAATTATGTATATTATTAAAATATTCTATATCTCCTATAGATTTTGTTTTATCTCTAAAATTATTTCGTTTATTTTCATAAATCCTTTAGAGAAGAGTTAAAAAAGGTATGTTAAAACATGACAAGAGTTTTAAGAAATGTTTGGTTTTGGCTGTGAAAACTCGTGACGTTCAAACTATCTAATACGTAATTCACAAGTTTCACTTCTTTTTCAAAGTTTTTTTTTGTAACATTGCAGATACAAAATAATATTTTCTTTTTAATTCTTTTATTTTTTTTTAAATAATAACTATAGCTAAAACAACATTAAAAAAAAAAACATCAAAAGTTAAAAATGGAAATTCATAATGTTCACGTGACTCATAATTTATATATCTTATATTTTTTGTTCTTCATTATATTCGAAATTGCAGCATTTTTTTTTATCTTACGTCTTTTTTCTAACAAAAGATTTAAGGAACATATCATGATATTTATTATTTTTCAATTATATAAACGATTTTATTTTTCAGTGACTGACACTTCATTAATAATCTATCAAATTTCTATTTTATTTTCTGTTTTCAAGTGCTGGAACTGTAATAAATCTTTAAGAAACAAATAATTGTATTTCAAAAAAGATTAATTGCTAATAGTGTAATTTTTTTATTTACATTATTTTATTTTTATTCAACAATTTAGATTTAAAGTTTGTTTATTTTATATTATATTCATTTTTAAACAATGAAAAATTTTAAATTTGTTTTAAAACACATTGAATACAGATAGAAGTTCATAAATAATATATAAAAAATTATTAAATTTTTTTTAAAGTTAAAATTTACATCTCAACATCTTCTATTTATAATTTATAGAAAAATCGATTTATTTTGAATTTTCGCTTTATCATGCAAATGATAAAAATAAGTGTAATTGTTGTCTTCAAATATGTATTTAAAAAAAGTTAATATTTTTCAAAAATCAATATATTATATTTGGAAATTAATTAATTTGAATAAAGAAAAGATTCCAAAATTGAAACATTATTCTATTAAACTTATATTGAATAAAATAATGAAACATATACATATACAATAAGATATTTTTAATTATTTACTTCTACTTCATTAAAAAAATTCTGTTCAATGTTTAATAAAAATTCTGATTAATCCTAATTCTTCTCGGATATGTTAAAACAAAAGAATAAGTTGGAATAAATATTCAAATATATAATCAATGAAAAGATATTCCGTTGTACTCATAATCAATCATGATATGACCGATTATTCGAACAATCTCATCAGAGATTACAAGTCACGTATTTTCCTCGTCTTTGCTTCAATCTCTTCAAGCTAGCCAACGAAAATCTTAAGTGATAATGATCAACATATTGTGAAAGCATAATGAAAACGTAATGTATAATCTCTCTTCAATATAATTTTAAGAACAACATGACTGAAAAGATGAAATTGAAATCGTATATTTTTGTTTTAATTATGTTTTATGTTAATTAGTTTACTATTTTATAAATTATGAAGGGATACTTTAATTAAAAACTTAATATCTTATTTTGATTAAATTATATGTAGAATTAATTGTATATTTGAATAAAATATCAGATTTTTCTTTTTAACAAATGTCTAATTATATTTAAATTTAATTTAATCGTATATAATTTTATGATTAAATATTATGATAATACTGGAAGAATCATAATATTAATTTAATTTTTGAAAGTTTTATTTCTTCTTTCTTTTGTTTTAAAATTTAACTAAATTTCCATAAATCTTCAACATAATATCTGTTATTATATCTTATATATATTTAGTTTTAAAAATACTACAAATTTTTGTATATAAACCGTTCAAATTTATCCTTTTTATTTATTAGAGTTGAAAAAAAATTTAAAAAATTGAAATAATTCTTGTGAAATTTTTTTTCATAAATAACTAAAAAAATTATTTTCACAACATGCAGATTATCATATTAGCTATCACATAGATTTTAATGATATATAAAACATTAATATAACTATAGAGATTATATGACAATGTCAAAATTAATGGAAGTTATGTTAAAATAAATAATAATCCTTCAATATTACAGGCAAAATAAAGTTTGGCAATTAATTGTTAATTTTCTGTACTATCATATCACTTAAAAAACTATATATATATTTATCTTATTATTATATATATTATCTATATATATCTTATATTTTATAATATTAATAAACAAACAGTTTATAAAAAAAAGCTTAAAATGAAAAATGATAAAATCTGATCTGAAATTAAAAACTGATCTAAAATTAATTACTAACCTATATTTCTCATAAGTAGGTGAAATCCTATTTATAGAGGATTAAAGATGACACATCGAAACACACGATCAAATCACGCATCACGAAATCGTAGTCGCGATTCATTCACGAAACCGTACGAATCCGCGTGGGTCTTCGGGTGAAAGCCGAACAGACCCGGGTCTCGCCGATCACTGTTTACACTCGCTGTCTTATCAAACACGCGAGAAAGTCACACCGTTTACCAGAAACTTCTATTGAAACAAGTTTTCGCCTCTCTGTGTTACGAGCGAGGTTAAAAACATGTGAGCCAATTTCTCGTCAACACGGAAATACAGCCGGAAATACCGTGTGAGAACATTGACTGTTTCCTTACATCAATTTTTTGTCAAATTATTCGAAAACCACTTTATCGATATGTCCAAAATTTCTCGATCATATCGATAAACAAAATCACGTGACAAAGTAACGGTTCACCATTATTTTCACTTTAAACGCAAAGAACGATTTTAAATAAAATAAAAAAAAAATAAACAGAAAGAAAAGAAAATAATCACATGTCTATACCTGGTGCAGGAGCAGCAAAAAAGGCTTGATTAGTTGCGACGAGTAACGAGACCAGCACGAACAAAGACCACGCGAGGACAATCATCCTGGATCGTAGTGATCACTGAGAAGTATTGATAGCGAGTTGATCAACTTGCCAAATTTCGGATCATCCAGATTTCCACTACGGTTACGATTTCGCGCACCTGACCGGTATACACGCGTGTATGTATCCGTAATAATTTGATTGTATTCCAAATTAATGTTTTCTTCTTAAATGTATATATATATATATATATATATCAATATATAAATATATATATATTCTTATATATGTTATATATGTATTTATGTAGATATGTATCTGTATATCTGTAGGTATGTGTGTGTACGTGCGTCGAAGATCTTAATTCGGCGTCGCTAGTTCTCGAACACGTTTCTCTCGATGAACCGGGCCGTCGGGCTCAGACTCGGCTTTACCGACTTCTCCGACCAGTTAGCCAGCAGTGAACTGCTCGTGTTCCTGCCTTGGGCATCGTAATATACATAAAGTCGCCAGATAAGCCGCAGCTGACACCCCACCACAAACCCGTCGTGGGACGGTCCGTCTTCTTGCTCGCTCACTCTCGATGGAACAGCTTGAAATCCTCTTCTTCTCGAAACCGCCCCGCCGCTCGTTCATTCCCTCTCTCTATCGCTCTTTCGCCTTTTCTGTACCACGTCTCTGTACACGTGTTCCCGCGATGCGGATTGCAGTTCGCAAACATCAGCCGACCTGTGCAAAAACTACCGTTGCAAACGGGTTTCTTGACTGTTTAGACTTAACTCCGATAAAAGTTTTTGATATTTTGATATAAGAAACGTGATTTAAAGATGTGATTTTATCATTTTATCATTTTTTGTGTTTTAGGTAATAACAAAAATGATAATGATGAATATTTACATCGAGTTTTTTGATCACTTAAAACTTGATTCGAGTAAAGATTTATAAGATTTTTTGGCATGATAAGTATGATTTCAATTCTGATTTTTTTGGAGGTGTTTTATGAAGAGAATGTTAGTGAATATTAACTCTCTGGAGAAATGTGTATTTTTGAAGTGATACGTGTTGGCTCTTTTTAGGAAAATGAGATGTCAATAAATTGTGAAGTTATTTAATTTTCAAGATTGTTAAACTACTTATTTAATTTACATTATTATCGAATATCTACTAATTTTTAATTTCGTGTGAATTTATTATTTATATTTGATTTAAGAATAATAATTAATCACGAGTAATAATATTGTGAGTTCT